GGGGGGGGGGGGGAGAAGAATCATAAGTGTAATTATTCTGTCGAACGGCGAAGTCTCTTCGTCAGAAACAGGTGTGACGGAGCAGTTGGTCCCCCCCGAGACGAGTGTGACAGAACTCACCCGAAGGCGTACACGTCTGCCGCGGTGGAGAAAGGGAGGCGGTCCTCGTTGTTACCTGGGCTCATCCTGCGCACGATCTCTGGTGCGAGATAACAAATCCAGCCATGTGGAAGTTTTAGTTTGTTCTCACGCCTGGATACAAAAAAAGAAGAAGAAAAAAAAAAAAAAAAGGTACACATTTGTCAGTAACAAATCAAATGGAGTGGAAAATCTGAGTGGGAAGATGCATTAAATAGAGTGGAAACTGCATTATCTCAATGTAGTCCATCTCCAACTCCTGTGTACAAAAGGGAGCGCGGATTTAGAGAGTGGTGTGCTCAGAATGTACTTAAAAATAAACAAGGCTGTGATGGAAAGCATTCCGATTTTACAATCAGGAGGCTTCAGTCTTTACAAAAAAGAAGAAAATACTGGCTGAAAAGGGAAATGCCTGCAGGGCTGGAGGACCTCAGCAATTATTACAAATCACTGGACCTCCATAGGAAATAACAGTGTGGTGTGAAGAGCACTTTGGCTGAGTGGCGTTTCTTACCTCCCCTCCTGAACAACTCCAGAGATCCCAAACAGCCCGAAGTCTGTGATTATGACTTTGTTGGTATCGTGAAAAACGTTCTTCGACTTCAAGTCTTTGTGAACAATGCCTTTAGCGTGCAGATAGCCCATTCCCTGTGTCGGAAGACAAGATGGGTCAGTAGCTATGGATCGTTAAATTACACGAAAGAGCTAAAATAAAACAAGTAATACACAATAGTCATAGTTAATGGATTTGCCTTTGTTATAATACAGATTTACTGTTTCATGGCACCGCTTGTAAGTGCTTAAATCATATATATTGTATATATATCGTAATATAATGTGAAAGAATGAATACCTTTACAATCTCCTGCGCAATTTGTCTCGTCTTATTAATATCCAACATGTTTTTAGTGTCTCTCACAACGGAATACAGCGTCCTGCCTTTACAGAAACTGTAGGGGGAGAGAAGAAAACAATTTCAAATAAAAGACGTGTCTTCGGGTTAAAAGCGCTTCAGAGGCGCGTTTGATATTTCGGCTCTCACCTGGTGATGATGGCGAGGTGGGGCGGAGCCATGCAGGCCCCCATGAAGAGGACCACGTTCTCGTGCCTGGTCTGTCTGTAGTTCATCACCTCCTTCTTGAAGAGCTTCAGATGGTCCTGGTTGTTCCCGTCGATCTCGAGGAGTCGGATGGCTACCTCGCCGTGCCACCGCCCCTTGTGCACTCTGCCCCAGCGGCCCTGTGCGAACAGATAGCAACTTCAGCTGCGGTGCCCTTTTTTTTCTCCCCGGAATACGACAGCATGTGCCGTCAACGTCTAGATCCTCACCTTTCCTATGAGCTCCCCGAGGTCCAGCTGCTCGAAAGGGATGTCCCACTCCTGCAGGTAGACGCTGGTCTGGCTCGCCTTGCGGGAGATGGGACCCTTCCACTGGTTCCCCCGGGAGCCGGGCAGATCATCCAGCTCATCGCACTCGCCGTCGGAGCCCACGTTCATCCTCATGTCCTCCTCCTCGTCCTCATCCTCCCCTTCATCGTCCTCCTCCTCATCGTCCTCGTTATCGTTCTCCACTTCGGGGTCTTCGTCTTCGTCCTCTATTTCCTCTTCCTGCAAGAGTGCGGTGACGGCGTCGTTGATCTATTGTGCTTACTTACTGGCATTTTTTTCTTCGTATTCTTACAGATTCAGAAAATGCTACATTTCTAATTGTTTTATTGTATATAAGTCATCTGTATCTCCCTATTGGATGGTTGTGAAATTCATCTTATGAAGGATGAGTCAATACATTCTGTAACTGTGAGCCAGCTTTGAATTATACAGGAAGACGTTTTTCTTTTGCTGTCGCAGACATAAAATGGGGATATTTACATGTCAGCAAGACTCTCCTGTTTAAATGAATAACACAACAGCTCCAGCACCGGCACAGCCAAACAGGTGAAAGCTGGTCCCAATAAACAAATGTTTTGTCTGAGATTTAACAGACTATATGAGTCACCCGAGTCTGTCTGTCTATCAACCCATTGATGGATGACAATATGAGTCTCCGACAGAACGTGGTGCAAAGATACATTTCCGAAATATATAGAAAAGAATATAACAACCTCATTGCACGGACAGCTAAACCTAAAGTATTGTTCTAGACGGCGCATACATCGTGTTGCAACATTACCTCTTCATCTTCATCTTCTACCAGCTGGGCGTGTATGTCATCCGCCGATTGCTCTCTCTCACTGCTGTGACACAGAGAAGGGGTATCAGAGGGGGCAAAGTCCAAGAAAAACTAAATATTTAAACTGATGTGTCATGAACTTTTAATACAAATGTCTTACACAGTGACTTGGAGGACATCAGGGTGCAAATGAGCAGGGCTGGAGACATCTGTAGAGGACAATAAGATGGTTAAGGAGGAAATGAGAGAAGCAAAAATCATTTTCTATGTCGTCCCCCCCTGTTTCCCCTTTAGGAAAGCCCCACCACATGCAGAACACGGGTACATCCCAAGTCTCTTAATTGTCATTTCCTCGCTCCTCGCTTGAACCGGAAGTTGTTCTGCGCCGCCATATTGACAGCCGTCCCAAAGCTCTTATTTAGCTCTGAGGAGCGAGGATGGAGGAGAGACCTCGGAGGAGCCATGAGCGAGGAACCACGAGAACAGCCTTCCAGGAAGTCTTTTAACGGCCGACACGCCCCCTCGTTGTTCATCAGTTATGTGATTGGACGCTTCAGCCGATCGGACTGACTGACTGGAGTTTCATACCAGAGTGAAGACAGATCACAGAATAAACTCTAGTTTATATTCGATTAGTTTTCTGATTCAACTTTCTTCATTTATTAGAAAGATTTGTCTTCCCCTCAATAACTTTTATTATGGATACAATTAAAGTCAGAGAGAGCTGGGGAGACGAAACACTTTTCACATCATTTATCATCATTTTCATTCAGTCACGTGAGGCGGATCATTCCCGAGTTTGATGAGTTTTATCATTTAAACTGAACCTGAAACATGGAGCCGAATACATTTATTCCAGTGTTCAAGAGAAACCATAATCATATTCTGGGTTAATTAATAATGACGTCAGAATCTGAATTTCAAAATGTACAGACGCATTCCGTCGGTAGAAATCGATCCTGCGCTCATAAACAGGACACAGTTTGTTAAAGAGGTAACAGACTACAGAGAGGAAACACCTCCACAGTGATGATTACTGGGTCTTTATTAGTTACTGTTATTAAGTACAGTGATCATGTGAACAGACACAAACTTCTCAAAAGGCTCTCCAGCTGTTAAAGCTGTGATCAGCGGCCGCCGTCATAAGCAACAGACGTCGCTTCACGTGACGCAACTGAGGAAAGGTCGTCTCATGTCTCTTAAAACATATTTCCTCATTTCCTCTCTCCTCGCATGGTTTCCTCCATGCATCCCTGGTGGGAGGGACTAAGACGCAAGGAAAGGACCCAAGTGAAGGAAACGGGGACGCAATTAAGAGACTTGGGATGTACCCCCTGACTGCTCATGCAATTTGCCACTACCACCAGCAGATGGTGTCAAAAGGCCGTTCAACGTGCAATCCTAGTGCTGGCACACAGTGAGAGAGAGCCGGATGGACTGCTACAACCCCAAAAGCAAACATGCAGAGGAGGGAAAGAGCTACGTGGAATCTACAGTGTGGAGGATGGAACGAAGCAGAGAATAGCAATGCAGAGTGACATTTTGGGACCGTCAACTCACCGGGGAAGATAAACTGCTGTCTATGCTGAAAGTAACAGGCAGCTTTTGCACAGAAAAAAAAAAAGAGAGGGAAAGACCGACAAGCATGGCAGGGGAGAGAGACTCTCGGTTAGAGAAGCTTTGAATGAACAGATCTTGTAAACAGCACAGTTGTTCTTCAGTGTTAAGAGTTGTATGTGGAGAGAGAAGGGTGTGGCCCGTGCTGTTAAATGCAGTTAAACTGGAAACGTGGTTTAAGAACAATAATCTGTACAAATACTTCAAAGTATGCACATTTCAGTCAGTACAGTATACTTTGTTCCAGGCTTACCGGGGAAATTGAAGCGGCTGTCCCGATGGCCTTTGGGCGAGGGGTTGGGTGGCGGGGTGGCGCTGGGGGGGTTGCTCTGCTGGAAGGGCGCGGGGGAGGAAGGTGTGGACGAGGTGGTGGAGGACGGATTGCTGCTGGAGTCCAGCTGGTTCAGCACTGGAGGATGGTCCTGTTGGGGCGCGGGAGGAGGGAGGGATGCAAACGACACTAGTCAGAGCAGATATTCGAGATGACTTCTAAAACTCATCTTGACATCGTAGCAGTCGACGGCGAACAGATGGGGATGATTCTGACCAAAGTGGTCTCAAGGACAAAAATATAGTCTTGTGTGGCATTCTACATTATGGCTTCATTGATTTAAATAGTTTATAGAGAGGCGTCATAGTTTGTGAATACGCAATGACTGTCGTGTTTTAAAAAGGTCTACACAAAGTGATATGGTGTGCCGTAATGCAGAACTGCTGAGCCATGTTTCACCTTTTTCGTAATGGCCTTTGGTAGTGTGCCGAACTGCGGTGATTCTGACGGCCGGTCCACGGGGTTGTTTATATCAGACGGAACGGACTCGGTCCTCCGAATTTTGGCGACTGGAGGAGGAATTGGAAATGTCACAATGTGCAGGCACAACACAGTGAGCCAATCAGCTGCAGACGGAGGGCAGAACAACGCTTACTTGGCAGAAAGGAGATCCTGCAGGACGGGGCTTCCTTTGTGCATTTGTTGTGGCACTTTAACCTGCACAGAGAGTCGGCAGAATATCAATACACGCCACCTTAAAACCCTCCAGGCTCCATCACGCAGGCCAAGGATTGAATCCTGCCAGAGCGCCTGTGTTTCCTCCTTCTGCGCTCTAACACGCTCTAACACTGCTCTACTGTCTCAGTCAACAACAAAAACACTTAAAAGTTGAGTAACGCACTCTTTAAATAGAAACTCACCGACAGTGTTTGCACTTAACCCCAAACATCATGTTCTTCTGGCACACCTGACATGTCTGGGACAGCCAGGACTTGGTGGAAAACCTATAGGACGCAAGCATTTTGTTATTAATACCACATCTCGCTCGTTAGATTTGTTATGACATTAGCTTAGGATGGAACATATGGTGTGGAAGAGAAAGATCTACCTGTGTGTGACTGCTAGGCCGATGTCCCTCCTCACTGCTTGCGGGGAGCCGCGATGCGCTGCTACGTTATCTAGCCAGGGAGAGCGAGTGAGAGACATGATTAGGTTATGTCGAGAAAGACCGGTATCTAATGACGTTACCCCAGTGGTCAATCATTTAGCATTTCGATTTGGTCAAACCACATTTGGGTTATGATTCCCTCACATAGAAATAATTGAGGGAATGTTCAGTCACATTTAAGCACAAACACAAACTTCAATGCATATGAATCTTAAAGAAAAAAGGCCAATAAGCTCCGAAATGGAACGGGTTCTTCCTTGGCTCATGCTACACCCTTTGACCAAGTTTCATAGAAATAGGGCCAGTAGTTTTTCCGTCACCCTGCTGACAAACAGACCAACAACAAAACCAAACGGAATACATTCCCTATTTGTTTAAAATCGGAATAATGCCTGGCTTACAGTATCGCAGTTCATTGAATTGTCACTCACAGCCCTGATCAACAGACTATTTTTGACATGTCAAACACGCATATTCACCAAATCAGCAAAATAATAATAATAATAAAAAATGTATACACATGCATGACTCACTCTTAATGCTGCTGTGCTCCTCCAGGAGGGTGGGCGTGCCGGGCAGGGTATAAGACGCCGTGGTGGCAGCCGGGGTGATTCCGGGGGTGCGCGCAGACATGACGGGGTAACGGGAAGGCGAGTCCTCGCATCCGTTCCCGTTAACTTGCATATTCAGTAACAACTTATTCTTCTTAACACACCTGGACAGAGGGGGAAGCAAAACAACCAGTATCAGACTGGATGCAAGAGCAGGTGCGCATCAACACCAGGTTGTATTGGGCAGGTTATGTAAGGGCTAGCAAGAGGCACGTTGGACTACCTAAATAGCATTGGCCCGGGACAGACAGGGTGACATCTTTAACACCCAGAAGTCACAAAGACTGAGGCCAGCTCTGAGGTTTATACGCACGCACACGCATGAAAAACAATGAATTTGTCTAATTTCATCTAGATTTCTGTTCAGTCAGCTATCAGACCTGTGACTCGATTTCAGCTTGCCGTTGTAATATACCGATATGCAGAAAGCCGGGATAAACTAGCCGGACTGCCTGTGCGTGCATTAGATGTATTGGATCTATGTCAGCTGTATTTACTTCCGCCTTTGCCATTTGTTTTTTTTCTCACAAAAAGCTTTCCATAAACACACAGGATATTATGGATAAACATGTGGCTTGTTTGTGTATCTGCATCCAAACACAACAGGGAGGAAAACTGAGGGAGAAAGAGAGATGTGTACGTGTCTCGCCACCTCTCTGAGCATTAGTCCTGGGACATATTTCCTGTTTTGACATGAGTCATAATCTCTGGGAATCTGTGCGGGGATTAGCTCCACTCATGCAGCCAGAGCAAAGGAGCAACAGGCAGGATGTGAAAGGATGTGGGGGAGGCGGAGGGAGGGAACGCAAGAGCGCGTCTGAAGAAAAGCTCGGCCTCTGCGGTCACGACGCGGCGCAAGACTGAGGTGAGGAGGAGACACTGGGAAGATGCTTTCAGGAAAACCGCACCAGCTCATCAGTGGGCGACAAGAAACACGCGGCTGCATCAGTAACCCAATTACGCATGATAATGCTCGTTTAAGTAGGCTGCAGCATCCACTACTGCTATCTGTTCCTTTCACTTCTCCACTGTAAGTGGAACACTTTTTTTTCTTTAGGTTAATTGCCTATTTGTACAGTGCTCAAGGATAGTTTGGCATTGTATATCAGAATCTGCTTTATTGGCCACCAATGCGTGTGCATACGAGGACGTTGACTACCGTATTTTGCATCCCTCTCTCAATGCACAAACAGCTCTCTGAGCACCTACTTGTTGGAGGGCGGGTCCTCGATGCGGTTGCCCAGCTGGGACTCGTGGCTCTTGCTGCGCGTCAGGGTGATGTTGGGAAGGAGGTGCAGCACTTTGCGGGACGGAGGCGGAGGGGTGCAGGGGGGCTTCAGCTGGTGGCGCCTCTTGGAGGGTGGAGTTGCAGGCGGGGTGGACGTGTGCCCGTGGAGCCGGGCTGCGCGGGAGAAGAACATCGGGAACGGGTCCGTGAGGGGGCTTTCGCTGTGGCCGTACGACGCCAGCGCCTCGGGCGTGGGCGCCGCCGACACCGAGCCCGAGCGGGGATGAGGGAAGATGGCGCAGGGGGTGGATGGGGTGGAGTGGATGGCGGATGGGCGGGCGAGAGGCGACGGGCTGTGAGGGCGGAGTGGAGTCCCGAAGCCGGTCAGCTGGTCTGAAGTCAGCAGAGAGCCACTGTCCCTCCTTGTGGGCTCGGACAGCCACGGACTGCTGTCTTCCCTCAGTTCCCCTCCTGGACCAGCACAGAAAAAAACACCATCAGTAGGAAAACAAACAAAAAAAGAAGAAGAATAGAATGTCCCGGAGGCTCCCGTGGAGTGAACACAAACCTGATTCAGCAGCACTCTTCAGACAGGAGAGGGCAGCACTGAGCCGAGCACATTCTTCTGAACTGGACCCTAGTCTTCGCATGGTATCCCTCACCTGAGCGCCTGACATCTGCAGTAAGGCATCCAGAGTCAACTTTGCTTCCACCGCCTGCAGAGGAGCAATTACAGAGGGAAAGGAAACGAGATGCATGTTAGCCCTCTACCGCATCCAACACGTCACACCACTAGTGTGGACATTATACAACTGATGCCATTTGTGTCATGGGAGGATTGAGCTGTCGGTAGAGCGTCACTAAAAGACTTCTGTTGAACACGGCGGCGTTAGCGGGCTGAAAGTCAGCTTTAAAAAAGGGCAGCATGTCGCAGTATTAAATAGGTCATACAACCCCTGACTTGCTCTGTTCCTGGAAATCGGTGGTAATCCTGGATGTTTGGGGCATTTAACATGCAGCTTCTTCCACTTATCGGGCAGATTATTCAGGACTACAGACGTGGTTTTAAGTCTGAATCAGTAGATAGAAGTAAAAAACTTTAGGAGGCCAAATCTGAAGTGATCAAGGCCACATAATACTTTTTTTTTTAATTCTGCCGTTTGAGAGTCAGTGTATCCTGACTAACACGTCTGTGCGATGGGTGCAGCTAAGCACAGCCTTAGACGGAGTGATCACTGTACAGTGGTGAAGGAAACTTTGACAGCAAGCTAACAGGAAGACAACATTGTGCAAGTAGAGGATTACATTAGCGAGGCATGATCAGAGTGGGAGGCAGACTGAGCAGCACTGGTAGGCTACAAATCAAGGAAATAACAGTCAGACACGACACGGATTACATGGCGGCTAGGACTCAATACACCGCAATCACCCCCCCCCCCCCCCCAACCACCTTCATAACAAACACGTACTTGTAACCGACAGCTTGTCAAACTAGACAGTATAATGGGAATCAACTATTTGAAGAGACAGCAAAATGCAGCACTCCAGAGGGGCAAGAGGGGATTGGATGATTTTTTTTTCCCTTCTTTTAAAAATCAACAATGAGATTACGTTAATAAAACAGGCCGTGGTCCTTTTCAGCTACAGATACACTAGCAGCAAGTTCATGGTGGAAATTTACATTTATAACAAATATAAAAAAAATCTGTACTTATAAAGTAGGTCATTTTCAGTAGCATATTTGGATTAAGACATTATTGTTGCATGCTGCAGTAGTAAAAAATGTATTTAACTGTAAAGTGCACCTTCGATCTTACATTGCTTGAGGATCGTTTAGTTAAATAGTGGCTTGAGCGTCACACAAGGACCTCGCTAACATGCCATACACGTGATAACTATAAACTAGCACCATCTCCATTTCCTCTCATTTCCACCGGTTATCGTATAAATCACAACCAGAACAGTCGAACAGAATAGATAATAATAGGTGAGGACCAGGTTTAAAGCCTGAGGTATTTACCGCTCACTTAATGTTCGGTTACCGAGACAGTTGGCAAAAATGACGGCACAAACTGTTTGCGGATCACGGAAGGAAAGTGAGTTAAGGATGTTTTTCTGACATGGGGGGGAAGGACGCAACCGCCTTATCAGGCAGGTTAAAGCCTTGCTTTGAGAGGGCAAACACTGATCAGAAAACTAGGGCAGCCTCCCACACTCGTGTGTACACTGCAAGCAAAAGGAAGCACACACACACACACACACACATACAGACATACAGACGCACGCACGCAGAATGCACAAACACAAGGGTGAGTGACGTGATATTCAGAAGTGGCTGTGGAACCCGCCGCTCCCCTCCCACCTGCTCATTCATAATAACATAATAACAATTTTAGCACCATGAACACAGCACAGCTTGCACACATGATTGCTGTACTGGGGGCCCCCTTTTTGTTTTTGCCATGTATGTGCACACAGCAAATAACACCGCATGTTTACTGAGTCTACACTTTGAAATGGGCCCAAAACCACTCGACACAGAGGGCTTAGAATATACTACTCATGTGGGCAAATGGACAATGAAGAGCAGAGAGGTTGGATGCCAAGTTTAAACAACATATATACGGTATATATATATATAAAATCACTGTAATGTTTTTGGACCAGCCATTACATAATCCAGCCCTCATAGTATGGACGCTCGGTAGAAATCTCAAATCGAATAATGCTTGATCTAAATGGTTCATCAACACGCCTTGACGCCAATACATACTTTGGGAAATCCCAGTTGGTATACAACACACACACACACACACACACAAACGAGCACTTTTACTATGCTACCAAAAAAATGATTTGAAGGTGGTGGGGGTTTAAAATTGAAAAGCAAATGAGCACAGAGCGTGAGGGTTACGTCTAAAACCATCACAACAAGGCAAGTGAAAGAAGAGAAAAAGTGTGCCCAAGCTGGGGCCATATCAAAGAACAACAAGTGCAAGAGGGATTTCAGATAAGCAGGTTACAGTTAGGTCACTAAACGAAGACAAACAAGACAATGCAAACATTACAGTGGATGAGAGGGACACAGGAAGGGGAGCCGAGGGGAAGGGGAGGAAAGGACAAAAGATTCAAACAAATCACGAGGTGGAATGAGAACGGCGTTATAGGCGTGAACTTAAATAGTGGATCTCAAACCAGCTGTTATCTCATAAGTCAGAACAAGATAAAGAAGAACTGGCAATGGGAGTAGTTTCCGTATGATCCAATGCAACCTACCAAATAGTGAGGAATGTTTATTATCTTTAACATTATAATCTATTGATAAAGGTTTTTCTTTCTGGAGGAAATATCTCTGTGTCCTGCTCGGGGACCAACACATGTTCAACATATTACTCAGGCTCTTAATCTGAAAAGTCATCTCTTACAAGGCCACCAAAGGGCAACACTGCCACCACGACATACCGCAACGCTGCTCTTTGGTGTCGTTTAAACATCCTCGATTAAAAGAAAGGATTCATTTTATTTAGACCGAGCCAAACGTTTGGAATCTGCAGCCAGGGTTTGAGAATCAAACCTTAAATAATGCCGATGCACATGCTAATTTCAACAAATATTCCACTCTACGAATATTTGTCAAAATGAAAAATGACAGAGCTCCTCTTTTAGAAAGACATGTTGATGGTCAGTGGTCAAGTATTCCTCACGTACATGTGAGCGGGGACTGAGTACACAAAGTGCATTCCACATAAATGTGACACAAACACAGTCACCCAGGCCAGAGAGAGAGAGAGAGAGAGAGAGAGAGCTAGGGATGGAGAAAGAGAAAGAGAGACTGATATTCACACAGAAACAACGTGATACCTCGATGAGCTCCGGTCGCAGGTTGATGGTGCGGAGCCAGTCTCGTAGGCGCGGGTAGCTGTCCAGGGCCTCGGGCCTCTCCGTCTCTGGCACTTTCTGCTTGCACTGCAGCTGTTTACAGATGTATTTCATCAGCTTCACCTGCAGGGAGCAACAGAGAACACAGCGCAGACGGGAGGGGCAGGTTAGAGGGGAGACTCACAGCGTGCTAGGAGCTAAGGAGCAGGCCTTCGCTGTCACACCTCTGTGTTGGCATTGGTTTTTTTTTTTTTTTGTGTGTGTGTGTGTGTGAGATGACACAGAAATGATGCAGTATGTGTGCTTTGTTTTTACTGTAACACCACACATCATAAGTCACTGTTTAGAGCAGTACCACATATACTACAGACTACTGGTGATGCTACAAAAGTGACATTCCATGGGGTCAAATCCATCTTAAATTGACACGAACCACTATATACTCTCCATCATCAGAAGCCTCTTCATTAGGTTCACCTGATGCATTAATCACTCCGTACTGTCACTGGGTTTTTCTTTCTTTCTCCAGGCAGCAACGATTTCAGTGTTTGTTTAACCGGATTTTCCAGTGCACAAGACAGTTAATTAGATATAAACAGCTATCATCATGCAGCGGAACAACGAGCCGGTCATCTAATGAGAGCATCCGCGGTGCTGGCACAGCAAACAAGGAGGCAGCTCAGTGACATAATGGCGGAGGAAAGAGCCATATGATCAATTCTCACAGTTAGTTTCAGAGGCGCTGTGCTCTCTTTTTTTCCATCACCTGCTCTTGAGGCTTGCATTAATGACTGAAGCCCTGGCGAACACCTTTACTGTAGCGTCTCATGACGGACTACTTTACCGGAACACCCCAAACCCAGCTGTGCTCCAAAAGAGCCAGCACCGTCACCGTGTCGAAAGCAACTTGTATTCAACTGACACACGAAGCCGCGAGACGACACGCCGACGCTTTCGAAGCCAATGTCAAGTGCAGTGGTCCTGTGAGTAAGTATCACCGTGGTGTTGTATTCGCGTTGTATGCAGCTCGGCGGCGGCCGTATAGTGTGTCTCCTTATCTCGCGGGCTTATCTATCTGCGAGAGTCCATTACAGCACGTGCAACACCAGCTATAGCTTCTTGACCGACTCGAGTGAAGTGAGCAACAACGCGCACGTCTTTTTCTCTGCTCATTAAACTTTTCTCTGTGACACATCCACACACACACACACACACACACACACACACACACACAGACATAATCTCTCATACAGCCACGCCGCTGCCAGAAAAGTGCGGCCTTGGGATGTGAAAAGGCTGCTGCGTGGCAGCTAACAAAAGCATAACTCCACTGAGATGAAAGAGGATGGAAAGGAGGTGAAGTGCTCTCTGTGTCGACTCTGACTGCGGCTTTTTCAGCTCCGCAATTACTCAGCTATTATCAGTTGCACTCGAGAGCATTATAAAATAATAAAGTGGCCTGCATTATTGAACGTCAGCTGATTTAAAAAAAAGGGATGTTTTCAAAACTTACCAGCAAGGAAATGCAGAAGAAAATAAATGCAAAAAACAAAAACAAACAAATCTCCCCTGGCATGTAAATGCCTTCATAAACTTGTTTTTAAAAAGCATAAAAATACTGTAGTGTGGTTAAATGTGATGCCCTGCTGTTCACAACATAACTTCAGAGTTTGAACCTCCTTTTAGTTGCATTCATTTGACCTCAGAGTCCAACCAGTAAGAGCTTGGCAGCTTGCTCCCACCTTCTACATTAACCTGATTTTGCCATTGTCGTACATATTTTGAATTTGCACCTAATTGTTATCTTAGATAATATCTTTATATTTTCACCCCTCCCACTTTGAAGTGCAACAGCTGCACTGCAATTTTCCTTTGGGATAATCAAAGTTGTATCTTCTGGTATTTAATACACATCTGTGGCTGGACAGACACTCCATGAGCACACATGGAAAAATATCTGTGACACATTTTCTATCCAACCCATTACGAGCAGACATTCTGAATTACAGAGCCTCGGACATTACTCCCTGTGCTCTCCGAACGCAGTGCTCCTGGAGATGTGGATTATACTTGCATGGCCGGCATTGGAGAGGCCTGTGCTCGATGTGGCTAATGAGCTAGCTTCCTGCTTTTGCCCCCACTACACACTGGTGCAGCCCTGTGACGTCGGGTTACCTAGCAACCCCTCTTCTGAGTCGTCAGCAACATTTCAGTGGGATTTTCCCACACATGCGATAACACAGAGATCAGACACAATACATGTCCACATGCAAAGTGTCACCATGCGTGTCCACAGGACAATAACTGTAGCAGCGGCAAAAAAACAAACACGGCCGACGTGTTTGATCTCCGGTCCCACACGGAGCATTCACTTTACCCGTTACCACCCTGAATAAATACGGTGGATAGAGTTACACAAGCGTGCATGCGAGCGCACACACACACACGTCCTCAAATCCCACAAAGATACCAGTAATGCATGTTGAGAACACAGTCAGGCGTCTCGACAGATAACGACAGACCCCCTCTGATATATTTTTGGTGCAGAGTGGAGAACGCAGCGTTTGACGCGTGGCCTGGAGGTGGGAGGAGGGAGGAGGGGGGATGGCGTCAGAGCCCACCTGTCAGCAGCCGAGCTAAACAACACCATGGCAACGGCCTAATGCGGTGAGGAGATGAGTGACAGCCGGTGTGGTCCGCCACCCAGAGAGAGGGGAGAGAGGAGTCCCGGGCAGCGGCCTGCCTGCCTGACACAGCAGGCGCTTGAAGGAGCAGATCCCACGGCTCCCGATTGTTCGCTCAAGGCCACTTTTTTTGGTGCACCTGCCGGGGAGAGCATCTTGAGAAGTGAGCCACGGCGCTCTATCCCAGGAATTGATATTTGCACAGGAAGGTCACTTCCTTGCTCTCAGACCGGAAAAAACGCTCACGTTTCTTGTTGTCGGAACAGGCTCAGTGAGGCATTTCTACGCCTGGTGTCATATTAGCTATTGATCATTAAAGTCCCGAGCGAAATCCGGGGAACATTTGCGGTGCAAGCAGTGAATGCAGTCGGAGGAAACCACATCTGGGCACAATAATAGCACAATTATTCCATACTCCCAACAAAAGGGACACAAAAAGCTACTTTTAACGTCTAAAAGGCAAGTTGTTTTACTGGATCGTGTAAGTAGCGGATCCGTGGCAAGCGCACCGATGTTTTATGGCTGACGCACAATTTTATCCTCACAAAAAAGATGAAAATTTCAAAAAGACAAAAGCACAATGAAGGCAGGCAGACCCAGTTATGCAGAGGGCACGTCACATGGACTTCTAGAGGGGGGGGGGGGTGGGGGGAACGTACATGGTTGACAGACCCGGACAATGGCATCATTGTTACCACCAGTGCAAGTTGACCCCTACAGTGAGCTGGGCTGGGCTGGGGGGGGGCCTTGTTTAGGCTAACACTGTGACATATCCGACATGTGGTCTGTGGAGCCATTTTGTACATTTCAAAACAAAAGTACCCATTTGTAATGGAACTGCAGATAGTAGTGCACATTAAACATGTTTTGTGAAAACAGATAATGAGTACATGAATAAAAAGCGCCCCCCCCCCCCCGCGCACAAATCTAACCATTTATAACCAACCGCCGTGCTAACTTTCCTCATGATTCGGAGCAAGCAAATTGCCCCTTTTCCACAAGAGAAGTGCAGCGGACCTCAAAATGACAGGATGTAATGCAACTCATCCTGAGTCGGTTTAAGAATAGACTAAGGCCAGCCTACACTCTTCAACCATGCTGATTTCCACATCATGCAGCCCATTCGTATCGACTGCACCACAAAAAAAAGGAAACAGACACAGGGGTCACCATTGCCACAGTCGCTAGAGTTGTGTTTCCTCTGTACCCTCATGTGAGCGACATTCTCCATTGTCTTCTCCTAGGCCTCTGACAGACACACACACACACACACACACACACACACACACACACACACACACA